GAAAGAATAAAATCGGATGAGGATCAGGCGGGGACACAAAAACCCTGGACAGGCTCAACCTGGTCCAGCAACTGGCTCCTTGAGTTTAAACCCTGCCAAATGCAAAGTCATGAAGATTTTGGAAGGGCAAAGAAGACGCAGACACCAATATAGTTTAGATGGCCAAAGACTGCAAACCTCACTCAAGGAAAAAGATCTGGGGTGTGAGTATAACACCGAGCATATCTCCTGAGGCGCACATCAATCAGATAACTGCTGCAGCATACGGGGCGCCTGGCAAACCTACGGATAACGTTCCGATACCTCAGTAAGGATTCGTTCAAGACTCTATACCATTTACCTCAGGCCCATACTGGAGTATGCAGCACCAGTTTGGAATCCACACCTAGTCAAGCACGTCAAGAAATTAGAGAAAGTGCAAAGGTTTGCAACAAGACTAGTCCCAGAGCTACGGGGATTGTCCTACGAAGAAAGGTTGAGGGAAATCGGCCTGACGACACTGGAGGACAGGAGGGTCAGGGGAGACATGATAACGACATATAAAATACTGCGCGGAATAGACAAGGTGGACAAAGACGGGATGTTCCAGAGAAGGGACACAGACACAAGAGGTCACAATTGGAAGTTGAAGACTCAGATGAATCAAAGGGATGTTAGGAAGTATTTCTTCAGTCATAGAGTAGTCAGGCCGTGGAATAGCCTTGAAAGTGACGTAGTGGAGGCGGGAACCATACATAGTTTTAAGGCGAGGTATGATAAAGCTCATGGGGCAGGGAGAGAGAGGACCTAGTAGCAATCAGCGAAGAGGCGGGGCCAGGAGCTATGATTCGACCCCTGCAACCACAAATAGGTGAGTACAAATAGGTGAGTACACACACACACACACACACACACCATACACCTCAGTAAGGAAACATTCAAAACTGTACACCGTGTATGTCAGGCCCATACTGGAATATGCAGCGACAGTATGGAACCCACACCTGGTCAAGCACGTAAATCAACCTCACGACACTGGAGGACAGGAGAGATAGGAGAGACATGAGAACGACATATAAAATACTGAGAGGAATTGACAGGGTGGACAGGGACAAGATGACTCAGAGATGGGACACAACAAGGGGTCATAACTGGAAGGTGAAGAATCAGATGAGTCACAGGGATGTTAGGAAGTACTTCTTCAGTCAGAGATTTGTCACGAAGTGGAACAGTCATGGAGAGTGATGTAGTGGAGGCAGTATCCATACACAGTTTTCAGAAGAGGTATGATAAACTAATGGAGCACGAGAGAGTGGACCTAGTGGCGACCAGCGAAGAGGTGGGGCCAGGGGTTATGAATCGACCCTTGCAACCACAAATATGTGAGTACAACACACACATAGGAGCTTTTGACTCCACCCCTACAACCAAAAATAGGTGAGGCACACACACACAGGAGCTGTGAATCGACCCCTGCAGCCATAAAAAGGTGAGTACACAGCCGAGGGACTCACCTCATTTAGTTCTCCGTCAAGTGTCTTGAAACCGACGACTATGAAGCATCGGGGCCCACTGTGAGGGATCACTGGGGCGGTCCCACAGTTCAGGTAACCATGACACCACCTCCTGGTACACCCCTGCAATGCAAATTCTACTACATTTAAGCAACTCCAAAAATATACTGTTTCCCTAAAACACTCAAGATTTAAAATTTTCAAATAATTTTTGACACTAGCACACTCCAACAAATTCTCAGCAGACACTGACAGCTTTCAGCAGAAATAAAATTAATAAACTCACCATTAAAAAAACAATAAAAAATTTATCACAGAAACCGAAAGGTGTTTATATAATCTCAATGTACACTGAAAGTTGCCATTTAAAGCCTGTTTAAGGGATTAAATCTATCTTTTTCATTTGTATACAGATGAATTTATGATTTTCGATTCTTGCAGTGACAGACTTTAAACGTAAGAAAATAATATTAGCAAAATTCATCCAAAAATGATATTGCATATCATTTATGGATTAAAGAAACTTTAATCCATAAAATAGGGATTAAATTTGACTATCACTGTATATAAAGATACACGCCTCTCAGTGTACATCTCACCTTGATGGAGGATATAATCTGATCCCAAGCTTGCTTCTATATGTCCATCCTCGTTCCCATCAATGAGTGCATCAGCCAGCTTCTCCCGTATGTACAACACAGGATATGGAACTGGTAGTAAAAACAAATAAAACAAATTTTAATTTTAGTAACTGGGAAGCATTAATCTAGTGGAGGATCTTAGGGGACGTTAATCAAGTTTGTTCCAAGGAAGGGGAGGATAGCTCTCATTTCTTGAATCAAGATCCCTTCACCAGCATGAAGTCTACAGCATCCTTGATCACCAACACGAGCTCTTCAAGGATCTGTTACCTTACTCATGTTTACGATAATGGGGAAGACTAACGAAGACAGGTGCAGAAAAAATTATTGACACCCTTCCAAGGTGCCCAGACGCCGGTGAAGGGCTCTTGATCCAAACAACAAGAATTATTACTATTTTTTTCCTTAGATCGAATGTAACTCCCATTCCATTAGGAACTGTATAACCCTTCTGGGTTTAGCGCTCTCATTAAATAAATAAAGACTAGATATACAGTACTTGACTTCCCTACCTCACGTTTTGTTCAACCTTCTTACACTGTTAATTACATTTAAATATATTTAAATTTATATCGCTACATAAAAATGATATCTTATTAAAAAAATGAGGCAACACCTCGATAAGTGAGGTGATACCTCAAACTCCACTGTACGAGGCTTACTGGTCCGTAAATTCAATAATAAAAATTAGTAAAACTTTTCAGTATAACGGTAAATTGCAAATCACTCAAATCTCTAAATAGATTAAAATTGTATCGAACCAATAAGAAAAAAAGTGTATAGGTAATTTAAGTTAAACACTTAGGTCATCGACTCAAAAAACATAACGGAGGAGCATTGCAGTTGACTCATCGGTCCACTCCATGACTGTGACTAAAATCCAACTTCCCACACACATACATTTGCCCAACATATGTATAAAATTCAAGACAAAGACCACACTGTATTTTTGTGAAAAATATTTTTATTATTATGAACAAATCTGGACTATAAAATTGTCAAGTTTATAGATACCAGAACTCACATTTGAAATATGCTGTGCATCATGCTTAAGTGATGATTCCATAATATATTTCGTTGAACTGCAGAATTACAGGGAAGTAATTCCTTGACATTAATCCAACCTTCACAATGGCCAGCATCCCTCACGTGAATGAAAAAAGCACTGGGTTCTTATCCAGTAGTTATTGCATATTTGTTTTTTAACTGGTTTCCAGAGACTTACCAGTTTGCCTTAAATAAAAGCTATCACAACTTTTCCAAGGGATGGAGTATACACAACCCTAGGATTCCTTCTGAGAATTTTATTAACTTTTGTTCTACAGAACTGTTATATTTAAAGACAACTTTATTACTTGGAGACATGACTGCAGGCTATTATCTTCATCATTGTCTGACCTGATAATGCGTTATCACAAGGAAGTTCACGGACACCTGCTAATGATCCTTTCAATATTCTCAGTATTTTCATTCTTTTCACGCAGCGTTGTGTAGGGACTAGGAAGTAAACAAGCCATACAAATGGTGTCTACTGTGTCAGTAGTAACGTCACCTCCAGAGAAGCCTTAGGTATGCCTCTGCTGATACACTTCTCAATTAAGTCAAGTCATGTTTGGGTTTACTATTTTTTTCTAGTGATATTTTTTTTTACAGGTAAGAACATTTGCTTAAAATCTGAGTTTAATTGAGTTATTTAATTCGTTGAGTTACCACCTCGGAGACTGGAAAAAAAAAATAATGAAATCACAAAATCATAACCATTTCTCCTAGATAAAGGTAAGATTTGTTGGGAAACAGGACAAGTATTTCCCGACGCAAGTCTTTGTAATACGATGTCTCGCAGCTGGAGCTTTTGGTCATTTAACCGAGGCCTTCCGCTGGCTTACCAGTCCACTTCTTTAAAAATTATGGTTATGATTATAACCATTTTTGCTTCGTAGATACAAAGTCATTCATTTTCAAGATACTCGAATGTATCAGTTTATATTAGATAAACTTTTTTCCAAGGACTGCTAAACATTTTTTTTTGTTATTCCCTATTACTATATGCACGCTGTGCTTGAATATTTCATAAAATACTGGAATTCAAAGGATGGTAAAACTCAGACTTGAATGTGACCTTGTTGGGTCGCCACAGTGGATGGGTCGAGATGATGACATAGCAGACGGCTTTACCACATTAAGCGCTCCCAGATTCTCTTCGATATTGCTTTTTCAAAATATCCAGTGTTTAACCATGTTCCTGTATTCACTAGTGCGTTTTTCTAACGTTTTGTAACCACAATTCCCCTCAAGGGAGGTTCCTCGACGCTGGTGAGGGGCTCTTGATCTAGGGAATTGGATCTGTACTCCAGTTCCCTGAATTGAGCCTGAATACCTTCCATCCCCTCCCCCCACATGCACTGTATAATCCTACGGGTTTAGCGTTCCCCCATGATTATAATAATAACCACAATTATGTGTTACGCGGCGTGTGTTAGAGATAACATCCTCCCCGTTTATGACTGGTTGTTTAATTAAATTGTCGTGAGGTTCCTAGGGAAGAGTGAGGTAGCAATGACACCAATAGAGGCTGTGTGTATATTAATGCACTAAGACGGAATCCAGCGCTTATACCTCCGCCCTTCACCTAAACTGGATTCTAACTTAGCCCGCGGCCTAGCATGCGCTGTTCAAATGGGAAGTCATGTGATACTAGCGTGATGTAAGTGGAATGCTGCATATAATTAGGTTAGGTTAGAGGTTCGCCAGGAAAGAGGGCAAGTGTTTCCTGATGCGGCCGGGTCTTAGTCATATGATGATCCGCAGCTGCAGCTATTAGTCATCTTACCGAGGCCTTCCACTAGCCTGGTGTAAATTTGCATCACTGACAAAATTACGTCAAATCTGTCATTAGCCACTTCCTTTGTAGTGAGTTTGCGCAGATTTGTGTTCTGAGGTCGTAGGTATAACAGAGATTGTGACCCGTAGTTTGGTAGTCCGATTTTTTGGATTAGAATAAAAGGAGCCACACCTAGCAGTAAACAGGCATAGTACATGGGGTTGCTGTTGTATATCGCATTTTGAAGTACGAACAAGTGCTTGGGTAGGGGGATCTCAATTTGATTCACCCGCCTCATGTAATGATTAGGCAAACAACTTACCGCCAATCTCGAGTCCTTTCATGATGAGTCCTTCCTGAAGGTGCGGGTTGGAGACGACGTCCTTGAGCCAGTTCACGTACATTTTGCCTCTGGCTTCCCACTCATGATGAGACTGTGACTTCCTATACGGGAGGGTGAACTGCCTTTTCAGCAACCTCGCTCTGCTCTGTGTAGCCCTCGAAATGAAAGCAATAATGTAGCTCCGACTGCCTGGTTCCTCCTATGAATAAGAGAAGCGATGAGTGAGGAAGGGCGAATATGTTAACTTAGTTGAAGCTGGTTGAAGGACGTACTGCCGACAAATATGAAAACAAACACGTGTAACAGAACAAGCTGTTACAGTGACAACGTTAAATAGGAAACATTAAAGACTTGATCAAATAAAGAAGGGACTTGGAGACAGTACAGTACATCAGATATATAAACAAGCCAGAAATGAATACACAAAAATAAGGAGGAAAGAAAAAAAAGAACTTTGAAAAGGAATAGAAGACAGGAGCAAGATGGAACCAAATTTGCTTTTTATACAAATGTAAAAAAAATCTAAAGGTTAGACAAAATACAAAGCATTAGGGATGACAACAAAATCACTGAGACAGACGAAATGTGCGAGATATATTTAGAAAATTGTATATTTTATATATAGCAGACTTAAAGCTTAAACATATAATTTAGAGGATATTTTGATGACTGAAGCAGTAGTAAAGAAATTATTAATGGATGTTGAAAAAAAAAAACAGGATTTCACTTTAGGGAGGAAAAATTGGCAGGCAAATGAAAGAGGGGACATATTGTATATTGAAAAAAAAATAGAGAAAAGTAGATAAACACTTGGAGGAGAAAACCTGCTGAAGAAATTCTTGTATTGGAGTTTATTAAGGCCATACACAAATTTTTTTCAAGGACAGAACTAATAAGCAAACTACGTATTTATCTAGATTTTAAGAAAACTTTTAATTGGGTTCCCTATGAGAAACTAATTTAGAAACTTCGAAACCTAGAAGGAATAAAAGATTAATTATTAAAATAGATGAGACTTTCTGTTAGAGAGAAAAATGTCATAGCGGGCAGAAGTCACAAGTGGGGTGCCGCAATAACACGTTTTAATTTATATAAATGATTTACCAGAAGGAATAAAAAAATATCAATATACTTGCTGATGCAAAAAAATTATGAGGTGCAATGAATAATAAAAAAATTATAAATTTTTACAGGACGACTTGGATGAATTGAGTGCATGGAGTGATCAAGATGGTGGAATTTAATGCACGTAAATGCCGTGTAATATAAATGGGAGTGAAATTATGCACCATGAAAAATATTGAGGGTCAGAGAAAGGGACCTAAGAGTTATTAAAAACAAAATGACCGGAAGTTTATGTAAATAGAAGTGTGAATAAATCCTTATGCTACGCTAGCGAATTTTAAAATAACTTTTCAATAAAGTATATGGATGGAGAGCTATGTTAAAAGAAGCTATTTATAACATATAATATGGAGAGGTAGTGTGGTGCCCATACCTTAAAAAAGTGGTTAAGTTAGAAAAGGTCCAAAGAGCTTCAAGACACTGCAGTTACCAATTTACAAGTTATGAAGAAAGATTGAAATCATTAAAGTTGCTGGTAGATAGGAGGAACGAAAGTGAACATGATAACTGCATATAAGATCACAAAAAGAAATAAAAGATTAGATATTGAGGATTTTTTTGTGCCTGCAATATGGATTACAAGAGGTCTCTGTTGTAAATTAAGAAAAAAAGTGGAGCCGAAGAGATACTAGATATTTTCCCTCAGAGTAATAGATTAGTAGAAATAACTACAAAAGGATGTAGTAAATTACTAATGACGAGACACCACTGTAGCTCTTGAATCTGTAACTACAAGTAGATAATTACGAATGGGTACTTACTATAATGGCTTGTTCTACTGCGTGTGTCTGCCTTCATACGTAGATGATACTGTGCACCGTGACTAAGACAGTTCTCATCACACTCACAAATTGGAAATGACAACTTAACATTTTAGTCCATTCTGGACTATTTGTAATTCGTTAAATGATTCAGAACGGACCGAGAAGTAGACCAGTTTTTATATAAAATTTGTAGGCTAGTTCTGAATTTAAGGCTGTGGGTTACTGAACAGTGATAATCTAGACGAAGGTGCTGATTAAAACTATTAGTAGTTGAGGCGATTTTTCGGCTTTCGGTGATTGGCTGCCTGTTAGAAACATCTATTGGACTTACCTGATTCTGAAAGTTTGCTGGTCTTGGAGTAGGCACAGAGCGAGGTACCGCAGGAGTCCATATGCTAGGTGCTACTGCAGCCCTTCTCTTCTGTTTTGTCACTATCTCCACAACATTGTTAAGGTGAGTGGACTTTGCGTTTGTGCTAGTAATCAAGCGTATTTTCTCCCAAGATGAAGTGGATGGAGACCGCGTAGTTTTGAGAGAAATCTCGTCTGGGGAACCGATGGGGTTACCACTCGGTGATCTCTCCGTGTGTCTAAAAATCGGTCTGTGATATTCAGTGATCGGCGAGGTATTAGATGGATTATGGCTTTTAGTGTCCCTGCTCTTTTGTCTTTCGTTGATTTTCCTGTCGCCCTCTCGCCTTTCTTTAGGGCTTCTCAGTTCCTCTGTTCTTTTTTCTTTTACTTCAATGTTTTTGAAGTCTTTTTTTTCGTGGATGTTTCTGTAATCTCCCTGTCTTTCCCTGACGTCCCTAAAGTCTGCTCTTCTTTCTTTGGTATCTCTGAAGGCATTTCTTCTTTCTCTGACATCTCTCAAGGCGTCTCTTTCTCTGATATCTCGGAAGTCTTCTTTTCTTTCTCTGACATCTCTGAAGCCTTCTCTTCTTTCGTTGAGGCATCGAATGGCTTCTTGTCTTAGGTTGTCGTTTCTACAGTCTTCTCTTCTGTCGGTTAAGCTTCGAATGTCTATTCCTCTAACATTGTCGTTGTTAAATTCGTCCTTTCTATCGATTAAGTTTCGAAGCTCTTCCCTTCTTTCATTATCATTTATCATAGCTTCTCTAGGCTCGCCAAGGTTTCTGATTCCGTTTCTTCTTCCATGGAAATTTCGTATGTGTTCTCTCTCACTGAAGTTGGTCACATCTCTTTCGTTCAAGTCGTTAAAGTTTAGGACGTCCTCTCTTCTCTCGTCTAAGTTCACGAGTTTTCGCTCGTTAAAATACTTAATATCTCTGCCCTCGTTGACACGTCTGGTGCTCTCTCTCCTGTCATCAAAGTACGTGACGGTTTCTTTCCTCTCCCTCACATCATCCCTGATGGACGAGTAAGGTGTTCTTGTACTTTTGCTATCGTCGTTTCCATCACTCGAATAGCGCCTCCTTCGAGAGATCTTAAAGTTGACAAGCTTCTTCTTTTTGACGGGCAGTTCCTTCGGCGGGGAAAGGCTTTGATAAAGGCGACGGTGGGGGCCATTGTCAAGATACTCTGCATCCTCCTTGGTCATGTGAGGGTCCATTATCTTTATCTTATCCACTCTACCTTGGCCTAAATTTATATCAGTTATAAAACAAATTAGCTTACTGGGGTGGTGCGAGACATCTTGATTTAATATAGCAAGTGCCGTTGCTTGTGATGGTAATTAGCTAAAATCACCACACCTGTAATTAACATAATTGCCATTAATATCAATTTGTTCTAAATAAAAAACTAAAGAACTCACAATCTTCATATGCATTATGAAGCAATAAATTTTAAACTTTTATGCATATTCTTTACATACAATTGTTTTAAGCAACATAATAAAGTGAACCGCCTGTAAACGTTATTAAAATGGTTATTCACTAGGCATACATATCAGCTTAATTTTGAAGACCGTCAGTGCAGCACATAACAGTTCCAAAAATAAGATTACAGAATATTAATAAAGTGAAAAGCAATTTCCCAGTTATGCATATTAAACTTGATGCATCTACGAGCAATCTGACCTACCAACAAGCTTATGTCCATTATTATTTTTGTAATACAGTATTTGTATAACCAACAAAACATGTTTGGAAAAGACACATGACGAGTGTATTCGAAGAATTTATTAATTAAATTCAGACTTGTGATTCAGACTTGTTCGTGGCAGCCCTCAACAGACGCTATTACATTGCATTGTACAGAATTGTACATAATTTGTAATATTTTACAATTAAGAATAAAACTAAGTCTGCCCGAAATGCCTAGCGTTCTAATGGTACACTCTGTAATCACTATTTTACTACATGTAAACCACACAATAACCAAATTTCTGTAAACTCAGCATTGTAATCCTTATAGACCTCCTCAACGTCGATGTTATAAGTGTCAACGCTGGGGCCACATTGCCAGGAAATGCCCATCTAAGTCACACTGGTGTGCAGTGTGTGCCAATGCTCATGCTTCTGAACGGTGTTATGATATGATCAAACAGCAACAGACTGTTGCTAAACAATGTATCAATTGTAAGACCTCAGGAGTCACAGCAGCTCATGCTGACTGCAGTGTGAGGGCTGATCGCATCACAGCCAACCGCACTTCACCCTGTACCCCTCATTATGACCCCCCAGGACTACCGGGTACCTGGGGTTGAATACTGGCTCATGCCTGCCCTCAGCCCAATGGGGTTGAGCACCTCACCTGGGGACCCACGTCAACAGACCTCCATCACTCGGTTTGTCAATCCAAAGCTAGCTGAGTCAGCTGACCGGTCAGCCAACGAGCTCCAGCTGACCGGGAACTTCACGTCTCAGATGTTTCCGTTTGTTCCCGTGGATTAAACCTGATTGTCGCTATAAAAGTAATGGAAACAACAATTTCTCCTGAAACAACAACTTGAAAAACACAAGGAAAGATGTGTAGAGTGAAACCAAATAACAGACTGTCACAATTGTGAAAGCAAGTGTGGCTGCTGAACAAGGTGGGTGGTGGTGTTCTTAAATTCACAGTAATGACGAATATAATATTGTGTTGATAATATGTGGCATCACAGTAAAGGCATGGTGTCTATGATGTTAGTAATAGTGATGCTGTAATATAATGGTGGTGAAGAGTGTGATGGGGTTTAAAACCACATAGACATTAATGTTAATACAATACTGTTGAAAAATGTAATGAACACATGTTGGTGTGGCGCTGTGATGACAGTTGTAGTGTTGCGTGAAATGAAAGTGGAGGAGGAATGTGGTGGTGGTGTCACCTATCATAACATTCACACATAAACAGCGTCATGATCTGAGTTTACGTAGACTCCCACGAGGCCCTTACAACTGGAGGTGCACTTCAAAACTCATGGACAATGGTAGCATGTTGACATTGATAAGGTCTGCTATTTATATAAACAATTTTTTCATTATGCTGAGAAACTCAAGATGATCCCAGGACTACTATAATGGATCAAAATCGTTTTAAACTTTCTAATTAGCTGGAATATTGCATCACTTAGAAAAAGACTTCCTGACCTTCATCATAAAATAACCACCGAACCCATTGATGTGTGTCTACAAGAGTGCAGAGTCCCTGAAAAATCCCAACCCCCTAAATTACCATATTTGTTGCATAAAACTCAAATCTACTAACTCTTGTGTTTATATATTAAAAAATCACTTCCCATCAACTTCTTGCACATAAGAAAACAGAGGGGCTACAATACCACGGTGTTAGGATTTATATAGGGAACTTGCTCTCAAATATTTAACTTGTACGTCCTGCTGATAAGTTAATTATTGGAGCTCCCACTTTGTGTCTTCTGAGCCTACTCTTATTATTGGCGTTACAATGCAAGACACAAAAGCATTGGAAACTCACAGTTTGGTAATCGTAATGGCAATCAACTGTTGTCACTCTAAAACAGTCATGATAATATCCAAATTGTAGGTGACCTTGAACCCACACATATCTATGGAGGCGTCCTTGATCTGTCCCTGGCTTCAACATTACTTCTCCCAGCTGTGAGTCTTCCATTGTAACAGATATAGCGTCTGATCATTTCCTAGGCTAACCTCACTGATATTGGTAATACTATCCTTCCTGGTGGGATAATCAAACGGAAAACGTTTTAATTTTCCCCACTGATCAGCATGATGACTTTGTTGCACATGTGACTGACTGGTATAATTTCCTTGAGTGTTCCTCTGTGGGAGACCTTTAACAATGACTTGTGAGCAGTATTCAGAACTATTTAGAGCTGCCACTGAAACCCTCTTGGTACTCTAAACCCAACAAACTTCCATAATAATCATACCTCCTTCAAAAACCATACTTATTACAATGATTCTAAACTTCGTACACTGAAACGTACTGCTCGCAGACTAGGCCTAGCCTATAGAAAACATCGTACCCCTGGAATGTGAGGCTCTTCCAAATCCCCTTGCTGCTGCCAAAAGGGTAGGACAGAGCTGCGGCAAACAGACTGGGAAATTTGTCAACGGTCTTAATGCTCACACCCCACTTAGCCGGGCATGGAGGGACATAAATAGAATTAAGGGTAACAGAACTGGGCTGATCGCGCACCCTCATCCCCTTTCATAGGGCGAATGAGTTAGTCGTGTTGGGCTGCTACATCTAGCTTGACAAATTTCCAGTACCACACAGGCCAAAATTAAATGACAAATATGATGCAAGGGAGAGACTTGTTTGCTTTATTGCTCGGCAAGGCAGATGACTGCAACATTCCTTTCACTAATTATGAACTTTATGCAGCACTAACTAAGGGGAACTTTCCACGTCGCCTGGTGAGGATGGTATTCTTACAACATACTCAGATTGCTGTGTCGAGTACCAGGTAATTAATCCTTACTTGAATTATATAAAAATGAGCTATGTAACTGGGGAGCTCCCTCAAACTTGGACCAACAGCCCCATCATTCCAATTCCTAAGCCCAACAACAAAATGCATTTCGCCCAATATCTCTTACTAGCGCTTGTGTTTAAAAAATTTGAGAGAATGATTTTTAATCGTCTCATGTACAGAATCAAACAATTTTTGTTCCCCGGTTAAATGGTTTCATGCATGGAAGGAGCGTGCATCATTGCATAGCCACCTTTCTCACCCCGCACACTTTACAGCTTACACTACCTTCCTTTACCTTAAATCCGCTTTCGATGTAGCCAGCGACTGTAATCATTAGTGAACTTGCCAGAATGGATGTTGGAGGATGGCTTCTCCGCTGGATTAAAGGTTAAACCCGTCCCAAAAGAAATCGTCTGTGTTGTTTTCCCGGGACATAGAAGTGTAACTAAAGACTTTGAAATTTGGAACCCCACAGGGAGGTGTGCTCAGTCCCCACTGTTCAAAATTCTAATTAATGCATTACTTTAATGCTATTTCCTAGTCAGCCCATCATTATGTGATTAGTTTTGCTGATGACATAATGATTCACACCACCGGATTCTCCAACATCCAAAACATTTTTAATCATGTACTAGCCCCGTGTCAGGACTGGGGTTGATAATCTCTACTGATAAAACAAAGATACTCAATAGGCGTCCTCCTCGACAGAGAGGCACAGTTCGTCGATCCAATTGCATGATGGGTCTCTTCTAGAATATGTAAGCAGATACAGGTATCTAGGTTCCACTACTTGGACCCGTTGTAACAAGACTTTGTCGCCAATACAAAGAAAGGGCTAAGAGCACTAGAGTTTGGCAGGGCTTCACCCAGGTATGGTGCTAATGTTAAAATTGTGAAAAAGATGTATCTTGCTTATATTAGATCATTGGTTTATTATGCGCGCCCCTACTTGCTCTTTTGTCTGACTGGAAGCTTGGAGGGCTGGAAAAAAATGCAGAACGAAGCAATGAGGATCATTTTAGGATGCCCTCGTCTGCCAAAATTTTAAATATTTCAAAAGAACTTGATATTCCAAGCATCAGAGATCGTGTTACTGAAGAAATATCCTAATTGGGGTTAATATGCTCAGGCAAGCTAATTCAAACCCCTGCACAGAAGCCCTCCAAACTTTCCTCAGCACTGGTGAACACTCCTCTAGATGGATCGAAAAAACTGGAAACGACCTCCGCATGAATCAGATACATGACTATGTCAAGTAAGGCAACAGCGGCACTCTCCGCTCCATGGAATATTACCCTATTCCAAACTACCATTCCTCCATTTCCCCCCAAACTACTTCTTAAATCACAACCAAAACTTCGCCTTGAAACCAAACTTAGTCACACAGCACACACTCTCGCAAATTATTTACGCTGATGGTTCTGTTCACCAAACCACTGGTGCAGCTGGTAGTGCTGCTGTTGTCACAAAAGAGTGATGGCTTCTTAAGAAATTGGAGACGCATCAATAATTGGGCCTCTACCCTTCAGACAGACTGTTTGCCATACTCCTTGCACTGAAATGATCTATGTATCAAAGATTGACAGTTTAATTGTAACTGATTCTCTGTCATCCATAAATGCTCTCAACTCATTAAGCATAAATTGTGGCATGCTTGTGTCAGAAGCCAGACACAGGTATGGTAGGATTGTGGACAGTGGAGTCAGAGTGCAATGTGTGGATTCCCTCCACATTGGTCTTCAGATGCATGATAGAACTGATAAATTGGCTAAGCTGTATGCTTTCAAAGAGGGAGTAGATTACAATCTTGGCTTGTCAGGTAGTAGTTTGAGAACAATAAATACGAAAAAAAACTTCAACTGAATTTTATGGACTTAAGGCTCAGGGAGACTGACACCAGTGAGTCCATCTATCATCATTCTAACATGCAGGGAGGGGCCACATGTCTATGGTGCATCCAAAAAAAAAAGCAGACTCTTGGATGTCCCACTGCCCCGGGTCGGTGGGTTACAAATATCTTTGGCAGGTTAAATCACCCACCAAAATGTAGA